TAAGGCTATGATTAAGGAGTTTGATCTTAATGGGGATGGGGTTATTTGCTTTGAGGAGTTTAGGATCATGATGCTGTGAATTAATATATAGTCTCAACGCAAGATGATGCGTATGGTTGAGGTTCCTTGTAGATTGATATATGTAATGTGTTATTTGGGTAGATTGATATATATTCTTTCATTATTATTTCCCCTCTGAAGATTGCTATTTGAAGTGTATGATGATGTGTATGTACATAAATAAGTATATACGTCAAAAGATGATGCGTACGGCGCCATAGCTACGTACGTGTATATCAATACCGATAAATTATGATTAGTATTGTCGGATCATTGAAAATGGGAAGTGGTTGGCTAGTAGAACCTCACTCCCAAATTCAAGAGCAAGCTAATAATAATAAAATGACAAATTTATCCTAATTGGGAAGTCATCACCTATCTATTATCAGCTGATCATGCAAGAGTTGTACTGTTATGCAAATATGTTCGAAATTACCGAAAGCCATGGATACGGAAGACAATTGAGCTAATTAATATACACCCATGGTAAGCACTGGCCTATTAGATTGAGCCAGCATTCGATGCATGCAGACTCGAGAGTCATACCGAGAGATTGCTTGTTTGGCACATTGCAACTAGTTACTGTGAGGATCATGAGTATGCTGGACTTCCTTCCTCTTCGCGACGAAACGTAGCTTCGAGCTTGTCGAAATACTGTGCTTATCTGGTAGTTTCTGTTCCTGAGCTGATACCTGATTATATTTCATGGGTTAAGTTTATGTCTAGCTACCGAGGTGCATACAAATCAGAAAGGGTGCATAAATTGTTTCAGGAAAAGGAAATGGATGAGAAAAAGTATGGGGTGTGAGAAAGTTGGTAGATTATGAAGAAGGCCCAGTGGATGGGCCCAACCGAGTAGTTAAAATGGGCCGAGGACTAGGCGGTCAGTTGGTGACGGAGATAGCAGGGCGGCTGTGGGAGATTCTGGCGGATCTTTGGGCTGAGATGTGCTATATGTTTCCATATTGTCGGACAATTTGGAGGCCCTTGCGGAAAATATAGCCCAAGGAGGCGATGTTTGGGCCTGGATCAACCATGATAGCGTTGAGGTAAAGGTTCATTGCTGAGTCGTCTGTGTGAAGGGCTTTTCATCTTTTGTGTGAATGTCGCCAATACCTCTTTCGTCAGTAATAATGTGCCTTAGTTTTCTGCTGTGCTCTCATGTAGAAGGGTGTAGTTTTAATTATTGTATTGTGTGTGTGTTTTTTTATGCAGTATTTGTCGTGACTGGCATTTTTATGGTGTGTTTGGGAGTTTACTTAATGTCCTGTTTGGATGGAGGGTAGAGAGGGGGAAGGGAAGAGAAATGAGGCTTTCACCTTGTTTGGGAGTTTTTTTAAGGAGGGTAGAGAGGAGGAAGGAAGGGGAAAGGAGGTTAAAATTGCTTGGTTTTCTTTCTCCCCCCCCCTCCCCTCCCATTTTTGGGCGGTAGAGGATGGTAAAGGAAGGTAAAGGGGTGTAATGACATTCTTACCCCCCATCAAAATAAATAAAAAGCCTGATGTGTTATTAGTATAAAGTCATTTATGTAAATTTACATATATTTATTTCCTTTCACCTTCATTCAACTTACTCAACTTCCAAACAACATATTACAATTCTCTTCCCTTCCCTTCCCTTCCCTTCCCTTCTCATTGTTTACCTTTCCTTCCCTTCCCTTAGTAAACTCCCAAACACACCAT